ATCTTTGTATATATACAATAAAGACATGCCATGCTAACCTGACTGCGGGTTAAAAAAAAAAAAAAAAAAAAAAAAAATTATAGCCAAATTATTATTTTAATCTAATTAACTTATATAAATATAAAAGTTTTTAAGTTTAGTCTTGGAGACAATATTTCACTCTATAGTGTTTTTGGATAAAGACTCTCCTAGATTACTACATTATTATTAATAGGTTATTACTGCTATATGTCACATCAAGCTGCTGAAATACAAGAAACTACAAACGAATAAATTGAAAAAAAAAAAAAAGAATATTTAAAAATAATTAAGTAGATAGCAAGAAAATGAAAAAGTAAAAATTGAAAAAAAAAATTCTAACTTCTTCTAAAGACCTGTTTTTCAAAACTTCTTCTCAATAAGAAATGCTTAATTGATATATCCTTTTTTTTCTTGACTATCTAAGAAACTTATTCATTCTTGATCTTGATTTTCTTCTTGTATACTATTTGAGGAAACTTATTGTTTAATGGGAACCTTTATTTTCAGAATACACTTAGTTTCAAGTTTTTTTGAGTAGTAATTTTTTATTCACTTGTGATAAAAAGGTAACTTATAATAGATCTTAGATTTTTATGTGATCCAATAGAAACTAATCCATGTTATTTCAATATGATACATTTTAACAGTTATACCTAGTTAAAGGAATTTTACTAGTATATATCTTCCATTGCTTAAAAAGTCAAATTCTTTAACAATCCTATTGCCTTGTAATAGTAAGAGGGTTTCAAAAAGTAATGAGGATCCTCTTTGATTATGATATTCTTCAACAACTTCTGGAAAAATACATTTTTAATTATAATCAAAAGATTAGAGCTTATCATGGACTAGAGACCATTTAGTCTTATTAACTAACTAAGATAAAAAAGTGACTTTGGTCTTAAATTTTGCTTGACTAAAATGATAAGAGAGAAAGATCTCAGCTTAAATGAATAGTAGATTTTTTATCACCTGAAAACTTGTTGTTCATATCTTATTAATCTCAAAGAACTTAATTTATAGGTTACCCCAATTGAAAGAGTGGGCAAATATGTGATATCAATTAACTTTTTCTATTATCAATAATATTATTGGAATATATAAGATAATCAGTAGGAACTTGTTTACATTTAGTTACTAACATATTGCATGTTCACCAATCATATTTTTACAATAAATTATGTTATCTAAAATTTAGGATTAAACTAAGGTAGGTAAAATTTTTCAGAAAACCAAAAAATTTTAAATGACTATAAAAGAAAAGAAATAGTGAACAAATACTTTAAAAATATGATTTAATATTTGTTACCTTCTATTGTATAAAACCTCTATAAATATGTTTCAGTATGAAAAGTTTTAAGTATTATATTATTTGTTTTTCTTCTTTGCAGAACTTTCTTGTCATAGGTAGGAAAGGTGTTTTTTGATTTTTCTAAGTTACAGGAAGTCAAGTTTTTGTTTAATAATGAATATAAATAAGAAAAAAGATTTAGAAATATCTTTTGAAATAAAATTTTAAGTTGATTTAAGGATAGTATTAAAACTTTATTAGTAAAGAAATAAAAAATTTCTTATAAATATTTTTTTTGTGTGCGAGCAAAAGATTAGCAAAAAGAGTCTTTACTTATAGTATATTTAATATCTGTTATAATTAAAATAAAAAAATATAATTTTTTTTTATAAAAACTTTTTTACTGATTTTTAAACTATATATAAAAAAGATGTTTATAAAAAATTTTTTTTATTTATTTACTAATAAAGTTTTAAATTATAATTTAAAAGTTATTTTTATTTTTTTTTCTTATTTATAAATTTTTTTATTCAAAAACTCGACTTTTGATAATTAAAAAATATTAATTAATATTTTAAACATCAATAATAAAGTTTTTTTAAAAAAAAAATTAAATGTAAAATATCTGAAGATCTTTTTAATCTTTAAAATACAAAATTATAGAAATTTTGGTATAATAAAAAAATATATTTTCTTACTTTATAATTGTCTTAGCTTATTTAGTACTTTTATTTTTATAGTTTTTACTTATTTTAGTTTGACTTTAAATTTTTAATAATATAAATTTTTATCAAAGATAATTAATTGATATAAAATATATTAATTTATAGAATATAAATAAGTTTTTATTGTTATGTTCACATGTTTTAATAATATTATTGATGATTAGATCTTTAAAAAAAAAATTATAATATTAAAAGATCAGAAAATAAGTAATATGAATTATAAATTTTTATCTTTTGCTTAAATTTTTTAAGCAATAATAAATCTTTAATAAATAAAAACTAAGATCTTTATACTTTTTTTAAGATATTTTAATCTAATGCTTATTTAAATAATAAACCAATTAAATTGATTTATTCAATACTATAAATAATAACAAAAATTTTTTTTTTAAATTCAAATAAAATAAAAAAAATAATTTAATTGAATAATTCTTTTAAAAAAAGTTGATTTTATTTTTAAATTTTTAATAAAATTTTATATTTTTTTTTTTATTCAAATTTTTTTAACTTAACAATTTATTTATTTTTAGATTAATTAATAATAATAAACTAATAATAATAATATTTATTAATAAAAATTAATTTTATTTTATTAAAAAAATATACTATTATTTTTAAAATCTAATTTAGAGTGTTTATATATGATAATAAGTTAGTTATTTTATAAAAATCCATAAATTATTATAAAAATTTTTTTAATTTCTTAATAAAGATAAACTATTGTGATATAATTGCAGATTAATAAAAAAAAATTTTTTTTTATTATTTAAAGATTTAAAATTAAATTAAAATAAATAAAATTTATAAAAATAAAGTTTTTTAAAAAGATATAAATAATTAATAACTTGTTTTAAAAATAAAAAAATTTTAAAATATTTTGTAGTTGATTTTTTAATAAATTTTTTTTGCTTTTAATAATAAAAATTTTATTAAAATTTTTTAACTATTAAAAATTAAATTTTTAAAAAAGTTTTTTTTTTTTTTTTTTGATATATAATGTATAGTATATATTAAAATTTTAAATAAATATTTTTCAAATAATAATAATAATTGTTATTATCATTATTTAAAAACTTTGAAAATATAATTTAAATAGTTAAATTATAATTAAATTATTTTTAATTTAAATTAATATTTTAAATTAAAGCAATACAGTTATTCGCAATTTAATAATACAATTACTATGTTATTATTAATGCGATTATTATTACCATTATGATGCCTATAGATTATTACTATTATGTAAATTATATAACTATCTAAATATAAAGAATAGCACTTATTGGATTATGATTGACCTACGGCCCTTTTATCAAAGGATTCGATATGTAGACCGCTACATATCCAACATGAAAACGCCTTATTGTGTAAATGCTCTTACCCGATTTCGGAATATTATCACGTGATTATGCGTATATGACTCATAAAGAACAGGTTACTTTCTATTGTTACTTGAATCAGAATTGAATACGATCAACCAAGCGCATGATATAAATAATATAAATAAGTGCAATTTGAAAATTTCGGGCACTTTACAGATGAAATTTGATGCGAATCATTCCAAAACGTGGCACAAGTTTTTTTTTTACAATGTATACATTCTTGTCTGCATTCAGTAAACTTTTGAATATTATGATGATCGTTTGTTAAGGCATAATGACACAAAGGTAAATGACATGACTTTTATGCAGTCGGAGAATTAATCGATGCTATTCAGTTGACCGCAGCAACGCCTCTACACTGGTTGTGGTGATTATAGTAATTTTCATTGGATGAAAGCATTAATAATTCTGAAAATATAAGCCTATTACATTATTTAATAACATAGTGTTGATCTTACCAAATACGGTTATAGATGCGATTAGAAAAAAATCACCAATTCATCACCCGCCAACAGAAAAAAAATATTTATTATTTGAGTATTCTCCAGAAAAAAAAAAAAAAAAAAAAAATTTCTTCGTAGAAAAAAAAATTTTCCTCAAAAGATATACGATATCAACAACTGATATCTCTTGTATCAAATATAAAACTTATTACCATTGTTCTTTTTGGCCTTTACCTTTTATTATTTTACCCTGCCTTAAAGTAACAAAGTAAAAGAAACTCCAGTCAAATTTACTCCGACAGTGGCATATTCTCCAAGCTGTATGTAACTATCACAAATTTATCAGTTATTCGCTTGTTTTCTTTCATATGTGTCGTCAGCACAAACTTTATATTTAAATTTTTGATATTTTCAATATGAAAGGTAACATATTCACATACTTTTATATTAGTAATTTATTGTTAACATCTGCAAATCGCAAAGGATCAATCGAGAAGTTCTTTGAAGTCTTTCTGCTTAAAAAGAAAGAAGCATGTCCATCAAAACCATGCAAATTTTATCCGATCTAAATAAGAACATAGTCCCAGAGAACGGGACAAGATCCTATGATAAAGTCTTCAATTCTACCCCTTCGATGGATAATATAAAACGTCACAACTGTAGCAATTCCCAAGGCGCGTCGACTTCTTCGCCTGTACCTGCATCTTCGAGATATGCTGCTTCCGATCTCACTTGTTCGTCCCCTGTTCAAAGTAGGGCGAAAGTGTATGATGATAGTATTGTCGGGAATTCAACAGACGTCACAAATAAACTAGTTGATCCTTCTGACGATATTGAGTCGACCAGCAATTCTTCTGTTATCGCCTCCCACGCTTCATTTGCTCCACCATCATTAACGTCAAATCAACCTTTACTCAACGGAGAAAGTAGAAAGATTCAGCCACCAGCTCCACCGAGAATTGCAACCATCTTTGCCGACAGCGTGATCACTCCGCCGACCTCTGATGGGATAGCAAAGAAATCTCAACATCAACGTGTTGCTTCAGACGATGATGTTTTAATAACTTTACCAAGTCCTGCAACATCAGTTCATGATTTTCCTGCATCTCACCACATTAAGAACAATCAAATTCAGAAAAGAGCAAATTCAACGAATCTGAGTGTAAAAAAAAGTTCTTACTCTCATCATCGACCTGGACATTGGAGGGAACTTTCATCGGAGATGTACCATCAAAACAACCATTGTAGTAATGATGAGGTAGGACCTATAAGCAGTCACTCCTCGTTGCAGCAGAGGTTGAAGAAACTTGGGCTAAACTGTTCGGAGTTAATTGGGCATTACGCCATCATCAAAACGATTGGCTCTGGCTCATTCTCGGAAGTGAAACTTGCCATGAATTTAAACTCTTGCGAGAATGTAGCAATCAAGATGATCGCCGTGAAAGGAATTCAAGACAGCGATCGATTGCAGACGGGTGTCTGGCGCGAGGTTGAACTCTTAAAGGTAATTTTTTATACTGAGGAATCGTTAATAAGAATTATTAATTTTAAAGGTTAGCATACTTATCATAGCCATCTTTTTTAGTTCATCGATCATCCTAACATTGTTAGTCTAGTCGACACAATTGATACCCCATCACACCTTTGTTTAATTCTCGAATACGTTCCTGGTGGCGAATTATTCGATTTTGTGAACGATTATTACGAGGAAACTACAGAAGATGATATGAAACACATATTCCTTCAAATTGTAGAAATCGTGTCATACCTTCATAATGCAAACATTGTTCACCGTGACCTGAAATTAGAAAATATTTTGTTAAAATCTCCATATTCACCCGAAAGGCCGGAAAATCCGATTATCAAATTAACAGATTTTGGATTGGCAAAATTCATCGATCCAAAGTCACCACTTTCCACCACCAGATGCGGATCGGAAGAATACGCGGCACCGGAATTAATACTAGCACAGCCCTACGATGGTAGGAAAACTGACATATGGGCATTGGGAATTATCTTATATTCTTTACTCGTTGGGTATTTGCCATTTAATCAAGAACGTGGACAAACTAGAAAGCAGTTTTGTAGCAAAATTGCCAGAGCCGATTTTAATTTTCCTCCATCTAGCGCCAGTGGAAGACGTGGAAAAATTAGCGAAGAGGCAAAAGATTTGGTGAAAAGGATATTACAGCGTGTACCTGAAAAAAGACTTTCCTTAAGTGGTATTAAAGATCACCCGTGGTTGCAAGTGACCAAGATATCCAAGATATAACAATATGTATCTAGAAGATATGGTGATTGGGTGAATATGATAAATTTCGGTTGAAAATCAGTGGACATCGAAATGTAGTTACAGTAATGAGTGCAAATAATAAGTGAATAATTAAACGAAAAAAGAAATTTCAAATAATAAATAATTTAGTATTAACATTGGATTGTTTATCTGATTTTTTTTTTTTTTTTTTTTTTTTTTTTTTTAATATACATGTGATAGGATTCCTCAAGATCAGATTAAATAAAAAATGTTTCTTGCGTAATTGTTGAACAGCGATAATTAATGGTTGATAATCAGTGCATAATGGAATTTTTTTGTTCATATGGTTTTTTATTTTCAAGTATTACATAAAAAAGATAAACCACTTTAATAATTATTACATTATTCTTACTATCTTTCTATTAATCGCGATTATTTGAATGTGTATTTGAGTTTTGCTATTTTCGAATTAAAGGAATTTTGCCTTTTTTTAATTATTAATAATTTCGCGACCATTAATTATATATACTGTACATATTAATTTAATTAATTTTGTTATGGTACTAGAATAGAAATCTATTAATTCAAAAATGCTATAAAATTGTAATGTTTAAAAATTTTAATACTTTAAAAAAAAGTAAGAGTTTAGTAAGTTTAATTAGAAATATTTTATTATATTAATTATAAATAAAAAATGGTTTAATTATAATACTAAATAAAATTTTATAAAAATAATAATAACTTGAACTTGAATTTTATTATTATATTTTTGTTATAAATTTCAATTTAATAATTTATAAATTTACTTTTTTTTTTTTTTTTTTAACCCACAATTATATCACAATGGCATGTCTTTATTGAAAAATTGAAATGAATTTACAATATTTTATAGATTTTCATAAAGTAACTAACTCGTATTCATACAAAAGTACTCTAAGTCAAATTTTGGAAATAATATTTCACTCTCCTAATAGATTGATAATAACCTCTATCTATTAAGATCATTGCCAATAGTTTGATTACTATTTATTGCCTGAAAACCAATGAATTGTTAAGTTAAAAAAGGAAAAGGGGAAAAATGATTAAAGAAAAGAGAACAATTCAAGGCCTACCAAAAAAATCCAAAAATAAAAACAACCTCTTTTCAAAAGAGATCTGCCTGATTGAAATAGTTTTTTTGCTTTATTTGAACCTTGGAAAAAATCTTCTTTTTTATCACCTGTAACATTGAACAAGTCAATCTAATTGATCTTTCATTTAAGTGAGTATCAGATTGGAATATCTCAAGAAAAGCATTTAGACCTCAACTTTTTTCATTAATGCTTTATCACCGCTTGAGGAATTTAGATAAGAGATAGGAGTTTGCAATCCACATTATCTATCACTTGATCTTTTGATATTATGGAAGTTTCCATTGAGGAACTTGAGCTTTTTGAGGGCAAATGTTTTTAAAACCTTCTTTTCAATCATCAATGATATCATTGAAATACATGAATATGATTAATAGAAGCTTGTTTATATTTCAAAAACTAATGTGTTTCATGTTAGCCAATTATTTTTGATCAGGATTTGTGCTACCAAAAATTTAAGATCAAACTTAGGTAGACAAAATTCTTCAGAAAATCATGAAAGTAATAGCTCTAAGAGGCTCATAAGTGACTAAAAGGAGAAAAATAATTCTTTTTGTCATCAAAAATCTCTATATACCTTTCACTTTAAAGGTTAAATAAGTCTTCAGGTACTTCACAGTCAATTCTTCTTCCTTTGAAAACTTTCTTACTGTTGATATCAAAGGTGTTACTTGACTTTTTTTGATCACTTGAAGTCAAATTTTTAAGTGAAAAGGTTTGTAAACAAAAGGGAAAAGGTAGAAGTGACTCTTGAAGTCATATTTTAAGTTGTTTTAATAAAAGTATTAAGACTTTATTAACAAAGAAATATAAAAACTTCCTGCAAACATCTTTTTTATATATGGTCAAAGAATCAGCAGAAAGATTTTTTTTATTTATAAATTTACTATTAAATATTCAAAATTATAAATTTTAAATTTAATTGCTTATAAAAATTGAAGTTACTTATTATAATTTTATAATAAACTTTTTTTTCTTTTTTTTTTTTTTGACGCTGGCTCAGCCTTGTTTTATTTTTTTTTATGCAGTTTTATTATG